GGTTTGAAAATCAAGCTCAGCGTATGTGCCCAAGATCCCAGGAGGATAATATGGGGCCGGCAAGTGGCATAGTGGTTGAGGTGATGGACTCCCACATGGCCGACCACAGATCAAGTCTTGGACCTGGTGGTTTGCTTTCTCACTTTCTCTTTCTCTCTCTCTCTCCCTCTCACCCTCTTTTCCATCAAATTAAAAATAATAATAATTAATAAAATTAAATAAATAATTCTTTTTTTAAAAAAAAGATCCCAGGAGGATAATAGAGAAGAGATTGCAGCATGGCCACTGGGTGGTTTCTCATTTTCCCCCTCACCGTGTCTGTCCCCTCCTTCCCCCCTCAAGCACACACCCACAAGCAAAAACCTAAAAAGCAAAGAAGTTTGCTGTTCATCAAAAACAAAGCTCAGTATGATCTTATTTAATTTTCAACCATATAGCTATACCCCTACAGTAGACAAAACAGTATGGATAACTGGCATAACCATAGAGAAAGAACAGTGGGGCAGAACAGAACTTAACAGTGTTTAGTAGATGATGTCTCTAAGTAGTATTTTGTGGGTTAGCTCATGCAGTGGGATAACATAAAACATCTCCAATTTATACCCCAGAGATTTAATATGGCTTGTGTGACAGTCAGTAGGGAGCTATGCTTCATAGATTATGAATCTATTTACTGTAGGTAATCCTTAACTAGGCATATCCCGTTAAGAACATTCTGTATAGAGGGGTTGGCAGGGTGTGGTGGTTAAGGTGCTAGACTCCCACATAGCTGACTATGGTTCGAGTCCTGGACCTGGTGACTTGCTTTCTGACTTTCCCTCTCTCTTCTCTCTCTGGTCAAATTTTAAAAAATAATCATGATAATAAAATAAATTAAATAAATATTTTTTAAAAAACATTCTATACAAAAAAGGACTCTTCCCCTGGCAAATAACATTAAGTTATTTTAGAAACCAGCAATATTTTCTTGTAAATGTTTTATGGTTTGCAGACTATGCTGTCTCTGGCACAACTGCTTAACTGCCAGTGTAGCACAAGAGCAGGTATGACATCTGTGTCTCAGAAAAGGAAACAATCTAGCAGGCTGATGAATAAGATCCTAAGAGTTTTCCAGTTACAGAAACAAAATGCCAGATGATTTCTAAGACCTATTTATGATACTTTAAAGATCAAGACCTCCACTGATTTGGAGCTTTTTCTTAAGCTAATTATCCTTTCAACTCTCTGGCAAGTAAACAGCTCAGAAGTAAATTCTAGTGTGCTAAGAGCAATACAGAACTAAGTCCAAGTCTCCTTTTCAGTCTCTTCTTCATGGAAACAAGACTAGAACCTTGGATTCAGGTATTTCGGGCAAGAGAAATATAGTACCAGTGATGCACAGTTTTCCCAGCCCCATATGTTGAAGAGACTTTCTGTTCCTCATTGCACATTTTTGGCACCCTTGTCAAAGATCTATTGACCACATATACCTGGATTTATTTCTTTATTATCACCTTTTTTCCTCTAATGCCAACCTAGTTAAGTTGTTTAGCAAACCTGGATTAAGGAGATGGATCTAAAGCCTCTTGTCTATGCCACCAAACTAATGTGTGCCTAAATATAGTTACATTTAGAAAGTTGTACTCTGTAAACATAGTTGTTATATTATTTTGTATTTTCTAAGATCTCTTTACTAGCCTCTTTATTTTATTTTGAGAGATATTTTTGCTATAGGACATGTGTGCTCGCTGGAGAGACAGAAACAGAAAACAAGAACTCACCCCCTAGGCGGGATGGCCACGCCACAGTCCCTTCTCCTCCATTCTTCTCTCGGGATTTTGGCCACACATGAACACATGCCTGGTGTGAGTTTCAAGCTCTTAGGTCCAGGACTTGAACCACGGTCGACTATGTGGGAGTCCAGTGACATAGCCATTACTCCATCTCCTGGCCTCACTAGCCTCTTTATTAATGAGACTTTTCCTTACGCAGAATTTTTTTTTTTTCCTAGAGGGTATGTGTGCTTGCCAGAGAGAGAAAGGAAAAAAGTACTTCCCGTCAGGAGTAGTCACACTGCAATCCCTTCTCCTCCATCTCTCCCTCCTTTTGAGACTTTGGGCACACATACACACACACCTGTCGTGTTTCTGAAGCTACTGGGTCTAGGACTCAAACCAAAGTCATTCCTGTGGGATCTGGCTGTCTTAACCACAAGGCAACAGAGCTCATTCGGGAATAGAACTCTTAACTCATACTAGCTTATGCATAAAAGAGAATATATTGGCCTGTGTGGTTGAGAAGTCAGGCACAGCTGGGTGCAGCTGTTGAACAATACCATTAGAAAGCTCAGCCATGATTTTCTGGGTAGTCGTTCATCCTTTATCCCTAGGTAGCCATTCCCAGTGGAGTGACACAATAGCCAGGAACCCAGATTGTATTTTATAAGCCTAGGAACCCCAACAGGACAGTGAAGTTCCACGGGCTCCAGTACAAGTTCCAGGATTAACTCTTTCAGCCGATGCCCACCCCACAATTGTTCACTGGGGGCAGGGGTAGGTGCAGGCCGTCAACGATCAACTCCATTCAACCTACGGGCTAAAAGTGGGGGAAAGGTGTTTCCCCTGTGAGAGGTAATTGAGGAGTATGTGAAAGGGAAGATGAGGTCAGGCATAGAGGATGGATAAATGAAGGGAGTAATGTTAATAGAAATGCTTGTCGGGTAAGAATACCTAATATCTGCTGTGTCTTAGTCAATCTTGAACTTTCTCAATGAGCAAAGCTTGGTTGTTCCATTGAGAGGCTCAGGAAAGGCTGATGAGTGAGAGTACTGTAAGTTCATAGGAGGGAAAACAGCAGAGGTATAATCACAGTGACACTTCTTTCTACCTGGAGCATTTCTTTCATCCACATGGTGGTACTACAGGAACACAAAACACATTTCCATGCTCTAATACGTGTTTCTGCTGACTGAACTTCACCATGAAAGAAATACCTTTCTAGGCCAAGCCAGTAGTATACACTGCTTAGATGCTGTGTTTTATAGGCTGAGGTCACATGGGAGGTCCAGGTTCAATTCCCAGTCCAATTTAAGGCCAGTCATGGTGGCATGTACCTTTAATCCCAGTAATTTGGGGGAGGCTGAGTTTGGAAGATCATGAGTTCAAGGCTAATCTGGGCAGCACTGCATTCCCCTGTAATCTAAGCAGGGAAGCTGAAGCAGGAGGATCGCAATTTGGAAGATCCTATCTTTAAAAGAAAGAAAAAGAGAAAAGTATCTTTTTTGTTATGGTACCTTATGGTCAATATTCCCAGAGGTGACTATAACCACTAGACACATGTGGCTACTTGAACATAAATATAAATTAATTAAAATAAACCTAAATAGACCAGCCCTGTGACCTGATGGTTAAGGGAGCTGGATCCCACATGGCCAACAGCATGGTTGGAGTCCCAGCCCTGGCAGCTTGAAAAACACACCAACCACATGTATGTATATGCCCAAAATCCCAGAAGGATAAAGAAATGGAAGAAGGGATTGTGATGTGACCACTCCCCATTTGGGGGTGGTTCTCCCTCTCGCTTTCTCTCTCCCTCTCTCTGGCAAGTACAGAGTATCTCTGGCAAATTTTTTTTTGGAGTGGTTTTTGCTATAGGGCACATGTACCCGCCAGAAAGACAGACAGAAAGAGAAATCACCCCCCAGGGGGGATGGCCACACCACATTTCCTTCTCCTCCATTCTCCTCTTGGGATCTTGGGCATGCACGCACACGCACGTGTGTTTAAGCCACCTGGTCTGGGACTCGAACTGTGGTCGACTACATGGGAGTCCAGCGACATAGCCATTACACTAACTGCTGGTCCCAAAATAATAATTATTAATTAATTAATTTAAAGATCCTATTTCTTGGAGGCCCAGGTGGTGTGGTGTTTAAGGCACTGGATCCCATATGGTCAACTCTGCAGTTCAAGTCCCAAACCTGGCAGCTTGAAAAACACACCTGTCATGTGTGCATGCATGCCCAATTCCCAACAGGAGAAAGGATTAGAGCTTGGTCATCCTCCCTAGGGATAATTTCTCATGTTCCTTATCTCTATGTCTCTCTCTGGTGAGCATACATGCCCTATGGCAAAAAGTTGTTTTTTTGTTTTAAGGAAAAAAAAAAGAAGGATTCTATTTCTCATTCATACTCTTTCAAGTGCTCAGTAGCCATATATGGCTACCATGTTGAACAATCAGATATGGAACATTTGTATCATCACAGGAATTTCCCTTAGACAGCACTGGTTTAGCACAGTAAGCTGTTACCAGCACTTTGTTGTTATTAAGAAGCTTTCTCGGGGGACCAGCAGTTAGTATAATGGCTATGTCGCTGGACTCCCATGTAGTCAACCACGGTTCAAGTCCTGGACCCGGTGGCTTAAACTCACGCCGGGTGTGTGTGCATGTGTGCCCAAGATCCCGAGAGGAGAATGGAGGAGAAGGGATTGTGGTGTGGCCATCCCCCCGGGGGGTGATTTCTCGCTTTCTGTCTCTCTGTCTCTCTGGCGAGCACATGTGCCCTATAGCAAAAACCTCTTAAAAAAAAAAGGCAGCTTTCTCGTGACAGTCACTAGACGTAATTGGGTACTAATACAACAGAAATTGAGAGAAGTCGACTGGGACTGTCCTATGGCCCTGTGTTGAAGGGTATCAGCTCCCTTCAGATTTTGATGTGAATCTTCAGACGAGACAGTATCTGCCATCACACATCCAAAATCCCTGGGATCTGTGTGAACCAAGCCTAGAAAAGTAGTCTGGACTATATGCCCAGTAGTTACCCAAGAGCAGCGGTGCTTGGGAGAAAGGGGGCGTGAGAGGCTGTTGGTGCCGGAGCCCCGAAGGAGTGCTTTATTTCAGGCAGTCATTGCTCGTTGGCCTCAGGTGTCATAAATGTCCACCCCTGTCATGCACTCGAGCATCTTTCAGGGTTATCCAACTCTACAAAAACTGATTTTGTTTTCCTTTCTTTCTTTCTGCAGACCTATTCCCCTTTGTTCTGTTGTTGTGATAAATAGCCAACTTGATAAAGTTGAAGGAAGGAAATATTTTGTTTCCTGTAAGGTTCAAAGTGTTGATGAGAAGACTCTACACTCAGAAGCAACAAGTAAGAAGCTGCCAGGGATTTTTGTTTGTTTGTTTGTTTTTTTATTTGGATTTTCTGGGGGTCTCTTGCCTTGGTTTTATAATCCACACATGCCCAGAAATTCTTAATTCCTTGTCATGCAAAAACAGGTATTCTTGGGACCAGCAGTTAGCGTAATGGCTATGTCGCTGGACTCCCACGTAGTCGACCGCGGTTCGGGTCCCGGACCCGGTGGCTTAAACTCACACCGGGCGCGTGTTCATGCGTGCCCAAGATCCCGAGAGGAAAATGGAGGAGAAGGGGTTGCGGTGTGGCCATCCCCCCTGGGGGGTGATTTCCTGCTTTCTGTCTCTCTGTCTCTCTCTGTCTGGCGAGCGCACGCGCCCTATAGCAAAAACCTCTCAAAAAAAAAAAAAAAAACAGGTATTCTTATGCATTATTGGTAAAGGACTATTTGTTATTATCTGTTGAAATTACAAAGTTATGACCCACTTGAAAGCCTTCATCCCATGGGACCAGCAGTTAGCATAATCGCTATGTCACTGGACTCCCATGTAGTCAACCACAGTTCGCATCCCAGACCCGGTGGCTTAAAACTTCACACCAGGCGCGTGTGCATGCGTGCCCAAGATCCTGAGAGGAGAATGGAGGAGAAGGGACTGCGGTGTGGCCATCCCCCCTGAGGGGTGATTTCTCGCTTTCTGTCTCTCTGTCTGTCTGGCAAGCGCATACGCCCTATAGCAAAAACCTCTAAAAAAGAAAAGAAAAAAAAAAGAAAGACTTTATCCCATAAGTGCACCAAGGTGCAAGATTACAGTGTATTAGGGTGGAGTAGGATTGTGATCATCGTGTCACTAACAGAACGTCATTTGCAATAGCAAAAGATGGGTAAAACATAGATATCCATCAATAGGAGACTGGTTAAAAAAAAAAAACAACTACAGTTCATCCATAAACTATATTGTATGTGTGTACTGTGGAAAATATTGTGGAATGTTGTGCTGCCATAAATAAGGAGGAAGCTCTTTTATTTGTTTTGTTTTAAGAGAGATTTTTGCTATAGGGTACATGCCCTGACCGGAGAGACAGAGAGACAGAAAGCAAGAAATCACCCCCCAGTGGGGATGGTCACGCTGCATCCCCTTCTCCTCCAATCTTCTCTCAGGATTATGGGTATTCACGCACACACGCCTGGCAAGAGTTTCAAGTCCCGGGGTCCAGGACTCAAACCATGGTCAGCCATATGAGAGTCCAGCAACATAACCATTATGCCATCTGCTGGTCCCAAGAAGGAAGCTCTTTGATATGGAGCTGTCTCATTAACAGAGTGAATGAAAACCCCAAGATGCAGGAACAGTGAATACAGTATGTTATTATTAGTGTCAAAGTAGAGACATATCTCCCTTTTCCTTCCTGTTTTCCTTTTACCCTTTCTTCCTTTTTGAATAATTTATTCCAGAAGCCATTAGGTGGGGTTGGCATAGTAGACTTAAATGAGAGGAGGCCTCAGGGGATGCCCAGCACAAGGTCAGAGCCTTGACAGAATGAGGAGGGTTCTGCACAGGGGAGTGGCCCAGTGCAGGATGTCAGAGCCCAAGGAAGGCAGGATGTTGTTCCATGGAGAACAGGGGAGTCAGAGCCTGTACAGGGCAAGAGGGACGTCTGCACTGGCTGGCAGTGGGGATGGCCCCCAGAACCACACCGTCAGAGAAGGGAGTTACAGATATGGAAAGAAAGAAAATAGGATGAACCCTACTTTGTTACATGGGAACCGGAGGTGTTGGTTATGTATATTCTCTTTTTGTTACTCCAAGTAATGTCGTAACCAATAACTTTATATATTATCATTTTGCACTCATTTTGGCAGGTTACTCTCCAATGGTTTGGAAGAGAATATATCTTTTTACTACTCTCGCATTTTTTCTGTAAGCTTGAAAATATTTCAAAATGAAAAGCAGTAAGTTGGGCCAGCCAGTGGCATGGTAGTGAAAGCAGCTAGATCCCACATGGATGACTGCATGGTTAGAGTCCTAGACCCAGTGGCTTGAAAAACACACTGGGTGCGTGCATACGTGTGTGTGCCCAAAATCCCAAGAGAAGACTGGAGGAGAAGAGACTGTGGTGTGGCCATCTCCCATGGTGAAGGATAGAGGTGGGGGATGATTTTCCCCTTTCTGTCCAGTGAGTTCATGTGCCCTATAGCAAAAACTTTTTTTTTTTGCCATAGGGCAGGCACCACCACGCCCTATAGCAAAAACTTTTTTAAGGGACCAGCAGATAGCATGATGGTTGCATCACTGGATTCCCACATAGTCAACCACGATTCGAGTCCCAGACCCAGTGACTTAAAACTCACGCTGGGCTTGTGTATGTGCATGTGTGCCAGAGATCCCAAGAAGAGAATGGAGAAGGGATTGCAATATGGCCGTACCCCCTAGAGTTGGTTTCTCACTTTCTGTCTCTCTGTCTGTCTCTGTGTCTCCAGCAAGCGCACACACCCTATAACAAAAATCTCTCAAAAGAAAAAAAAAAAAACTTTAAAGAAAAACAAGTAAATAGGAGGGAGTGGAAAAAAAATTTATGTATACTTGTATCGCATAAACTCTCCCATTGTCACATGACTGATGTTACAGGAGACTGGGTGGTTGGGAGGGAGAATCTACTATATTCCCTTTTTGTACCATTATTTTTCCTTTTGTTCTTTTTGAAAGTGTGTATATATCTATATCTATATTACTAAGGAGCCAAAAGCGTATACAACTGAAGTCCAATTTAGGGGCCAGCAGGTGATATAGTGGTTAAGGTGCTGGACTTCCCCATACCCAACAGCAGTTTGAGTCTCAGACCTGGCAGCTTGAAACTCACATGGGGCACGTGTGCATGTGTACCCAGAATCCCAGGAGAAGAATAGAGGAGAACGGACTGTGGCATGGCCATCCCCCTTGAGGGGGTTGATTTCTCGCTTTCTGTCTGTCTCTCTCTCTCCAGTAAGCGCACATGCCTTATAGCAGAAGGTTCTAGAAGGTTCTACAGAAAAAAAAAAAAAAAAAAAAAAAGTCCAATTTAAGAAAAAGAATGCAATATTAAGTACAAAGTGAAAACTTACATAAAACAGGAAAAGAAATCATACATAATACTACTGTCTTCGAGATCTAGGTCCCTTTCTTCTGAGTGTCCATAGCAAGCAAGTAGCCAGAAATCTCACATAGACAGGCTTTCTGATGGCATTCTTCTTTTTTTTTTTTTTTTTTTTTTTTTTTTGGGGGAGGGTTTTTTTTTTTTGTTTTGTTTTGTTTTGTTTTTTGTTTTGTTTTTTGCTATAGGGCACGTGCGCTCACCCAACAGAGAGAGGCAGAGAGACAGAGAGAGAAATCACCCCCCAGGGGGAGATGGCCTGTGTAAGTTGGTTTTTATTTACCTTAAGGGTATTTTTAATGAGAAGAAGTTTTTAATGTTAATGTAGTCACATTTATGGTTAATGCATTTTGTGTCTTAAAACATTCATCCCCCCTGCCCCAAGTATCAGCTGTTGGCAGGAATGATCAATAAAAAGAACAGGAGGACGATCATGAATAATTTGAAGCCAGTCCATTTAAGAACTCCATTCCAGGCTGTAGTTTGTACTTCCTGTCTCACTAAACCTTTCAATATCATAAAGGTACCAGATGGCTCAGTCGTAATTTTAGTTCTTTTCATTTCTCTATCTGTAATGGAAGTGGTAATGAACCATGAAATGGCGAAGTGGCAAAGGACCTGGTTAGCCGGGGGTAGGTAGTACAGTATTGTGACAGTTAAAAGTTGATTCTTTATTTGCCTGAAAAATGGGAGTGGCAGATAGACTGAAGGTACAAATATAAATCTAAATGTTTTCCTTTGTGTATGTCTTTCTGTGTAGAATTCTCATTAGATTGAAGTCAGCTGACTTATATTTATCTTCTGCCATTTTGTTTTTCTAGGCTTATTTATAAAGCTGGATCCTGATAAAAGTTTGATTTAAGCAAGTTTCTGGTGAATTCTACACATTTGCATAAGGCTCTCCCTCCTCCAGAAGCAGTTGCCTGCCCCTGCTCTTGGTCACCACCATTGATAGAAGCCTGCTAACACGGACCTTTCTGAACATAATCCAGGAACCCGCTCTCCACTTTCTAACATTATTTTTTTTAAACAGTCTTGCTGTGTTGCGATATTCTTGCCTCAGCCTCCTTAGCCTCTGGGACCACAGACACATGCTATGGTGCTTGGCTTTTTAAGTTGATCTGGGAATTGAACCTAGGCCTCCCAAGGAATTGAACCTGCAGGGTACATCATCTTAGCAGTGCATACCGCCATGATTGGGCCCTTATCTCCTAAACTTTCAGCAAAGAAATCCTCCCTGTGAAAGTATAAGCAAGTCTTTGTTTCCCTCAGATAAGTGTCTGGTTCTTCTAAGATTTGAATGGACTTTAATTAAAGTTACACAAGTGTGACATCTGCCCCACTGCAAATTAGAGAAAAAAATTGTATTGAAACTTTGACCACAAACATGGAAATGCTAGAAAACCAAATGAAGAAATAATATGTGGATGTGGGGGCGCGTGCATGCATGCATGCATATGCCTATCTGTCTCCATATCTACATGTTCTCTTTTTATAAGTACACCAGTTATATTGACAGGGCCCTCTTGAATTATCTCTCTTTTTTATTTATGAGAGAGATGTACCTGCAACAGTGTCTCACCTTTCCACAGTGCTTTCTCCAGCATCCTACCTAACCAGGATCATAGGTACATGTGACCTGCATGTTTAGGCTGACCCAGGGTCCAACCCCAGTCCTCCCATTTGTCTCCAGCATTGTGCAGGGGCACCCTCCCATCTATGCCACTGCAGCTAGGTCTTAATGACATCATTTCAACTTGATTACCTTCCAGATAAGGTCACATCATAAGACACTGAATTTCAGTATATCTTTTGGGAGGGATACAATTCAACCCACAAAAGAGCCTCAGACAAAACTAAGAATGAGAGACTGATATTCTTGAAAACATATTCTATTTCCTGATACAGGTGGTAGATTTTTCTTTTTAAAGAAAAGAATTATTTATTTGGGACCGACCAGCAGATGGTGTAGCAGTTACATCACTGGACTCCCACATGGCCAAGCATGGTTCAAGTCCCAGACCTGGTGGCTTGAAAGTCATACCTGGCACATGTGCATGCATGCCCAAGATCCTGGGAGAATGAAGGAGAAGGAACTGTGGCATGGCCATTCACCCTGTGGGGGTGATTTCTCACTTTCCTTCCAACTGTGTCTTTCTCCAGTGATCACACACACTTAAGGCAAAAACCTCTCCCAAAAAAGATTTATTTAATTTTGCTATTCTTAATTTTGTGTTTTTAGAATTATTTAATTTATTATTTATTATTATTTTTTAACATGCTAGAGGGCACGTGCACTCACCTGAAAGAGACAGAGAGAGAGAGAGGGAAAGTGAGAAAGCAAGCTGCCAAATCCAGGACTCAAACCATGGTCAGCCATGTGGGAGTCCAGCACCTTAACCACCATGCCACCTACTGGCCCTGGCAATAGATTCTTTAGGCTTCCATTTCTTGCCTTTTTTTTAGCCCTTATTGAAAGTTTAAGCTAGGGCTGGCCCTCTTGCACAGCAGTTAAGTGCTGAGCAGCATCAGTCAGATCCCACATTGTAGATCAGGGTTCAAGTCCTGACCCTGGTGTCTCAGAAAACACCAGGTACACATGTGCACCTAGGATCCTGACAGGGTGAAAAATTGAAGGCAAAAGGATTGTGGTTTGACCAGGCTTCATTGAGAGGTGCTTGCTTTCTCTCTCTCTTTTCCCTCTCACTGACACACATTTATTCTCTGGCATGAAAGAAGAAAGTTTAGGCTGAACCGTGATATGTAATAAGGCCTTATTAAGGGTGCTTCTCCCTCTGTCTCTTTGAAAACTGCCTTTTTTTTTTTTTTGGAGAGGTTTTCCCTATAGGGCGTGTGCACTTGCTAGACAGACAGAAAGAGACATAGAGACAGAAAGTGAGAAATCACTCCCCCAGGGGGGATGGTCATGCCGCAATCCCTTCTCCATTCTCCTCTCGGGATCTTGGGCACGCACGCACACGTGCCTGGCGTGAGTTTTAAGCCACTGGGTCCAGGACGCGAACCCCGGTTGACTATGTGGGAGTCCAGCAACATAGCCATTACGCTAACTGCCAGTTCCTGAAAACTGCCATTTTTGAAGGTCAGAATAGTTGAATATTGACAATTTCCTATTACTCAACCTAATAATTTAGGGATAGCCTTTTGTTATCCTATCCAGTCATTGTCTTATAGCCAAAAGATCAGCTAACGTTCTCCACTGCCATGGCTCATTCGCTCTGGGAGAGCCAACCAGAGGAAAACTCAAGTCCTAGAAGCTCTATCTCTAGTATCTGCCTGCAGCTCCCAAGCTGTGAGAGAGGGCCCTACAGATGGATGGGAATGGAAATACAGAAGTGTAACTAGCAGTTACGTCTCCCTGGAAACTCAAAAAAGTGCCTGGGAGTCCAGCTCAGCAATTTGCATTGTATGGCAACAGCCACCTTTTACCTAGTCAGTCTTCTTTCCAGCTAATCCTGGAATTTCAGAGACTATGGGCTCTTATGACAACTGTACCTCACAGCTTGCTTTTCATAGAAACTATGCATGTTTAAAAATGTGAAGCTGAGAGGCCAGCAGGTAGCGTGGTGGTTAAGGCACTGGACTCCCACATGGCCAACTACAGTTCAAGTCCTGGACCTGGAGGCTTGCTTTCTCACTTTTCCTCTATCTCTCTCTCTCCCTCTTCCTCTCCCTGGTCAAATTAAAAAGTAACAAATAAAATTAAATAATTTTTTTTAAGAATTATTTTATTTAACTGTATTTATTTATTTATTTATTTAAATTTGACCAGAGAGGGAGAGAGCAAGAGAGAGAGCAAGTGAGAAAGCAAGCCACCAGGTCCAGGACTCAAACTACAGTTGGCCATGTGGGAGTCCAGCACCCTTATCTACCATACCCCCTGCTGGCCCCTAAATAAATTATCATATTTTTAAAATGTGAAGCTGAAGGAATAAGCTTTCGTGAAATTAATAAAAAGGAAGTTTAGATAGTGATGCTACTTTATGCTTATTTCTTTATGGGGCTATAAAACTGTAGCACACCAGGCTCAGCCTAGTGGTGCAGCTGCCAGCACACTGAACTGCAGTGCTCTAAGGCCACATGGCTGACCATACACTCAGATCCCCGGGTCAGCCTGAAAACATTCCAGATGTGTGTACACATGCCCAAGATCCTGGAGAGCTGGAGGGCTAAGGAGAGGGGATCTTGGTGTAATGAGGCCTTATCAAAGGGCTTCGCCTCTCAGGTATACATGTGCACTCTATCCTGAATAAATGTTTTAAAACTAGCACAGCAGACCTCTACCCACAGCAAAAGAATCTGACTGGCAGAATGCCAAATGACTAGGTTTTATTCCTACTAAGTATGTTCTTACCTCCCTTTCTATATCCTTTACAGTTTTACTCTCACACTGGTTTGACCGTGTCCAGGGTACATTGTAGCATACAAGTGAGACTGAACAAGATCAATTAAGGGAAAGGCCAGTGTCTGTTAACACAGAGTTTTCCCATAGCCCGTGAAGGAAAAATGGTTTCCCTGCTCTACAACAAACTTTCTGGGCTTCACCAAGCCCAGAAGCCCAGACATTCTTGCTTCATCAGATTATATATTGACAAATGTGCAAGATAGAAAAAGGTACCTAGCCGGTCAGGAAAGAGAGACGTATGATCCGAATTGTTTCTGCTTCATCACTTGCTTGCTATGTGACCTAATGAAACTATTTTCATTGATGTTTCCCCTCTTTTTACAGTGGATGGTAAATAACTTTTTGAATGATTAGGAATTGTTACTGGTTAGTGTTAAAATATGTTTTTTAGGGTTTTTTTTTTTTTTGTGTGTGTGTGTGTGTGTTAAAATATGTTTTGAACTATCAGTGCAAACAATTGGTTTTTGCTCCTACCCCAGGTTTCTAAATGTCTAAGGAGCACAATAAAAAAAGATGATCATGCATAGAAATATAGTATTGGAAGAATAAAAATGATTTAAAATAAGATTGTTTTCCCTAACCAGAGTGTGGAATGAAGCAAGGAAGTTAAGAAAAACCTTTTGTTCTGTATTAAGGAATCTCATGCCCCTTGTTGCCATTACCCTCTTGAGACCCTTGACCTTCCCTCTGGGAGAGTTTCAGGACAAATTATTGTTTTCCCTAGTAACCAACTATCCTAGAACCCCACCTAAACATATATTTTCTATCCTAAACATAAGGCATTCTCTTTGATAGAGAAAATGGTCAATCTCTTTTGAATTTAAGCCTTTCAATATAAATCAAGGAACTTGTACCTCAGAAAGTGTTATGATTCCTTGGTCTGGTACTACTCTGACCAGTTCAGAATTACATAATTGGTTTATTCTTCATTGAAATTACAGATTTAAAAGTAAGTGGCTTGCTAAATAAACAACTCTCAAAGGAAGGCATATGAACAGCCAAAACATGAAAAAATACTCAGTCTCCCTCATCATAAGGGAGATGCAAAACAAAACCACAATGAGATACCACCTAATCCCAGTCGTTATGATTTTTTGGTCTGGTGCTACTCTGACCAGTTCAGAATTACAGAATTGGTTTACTCCTCATTGTGATTACAGATTTAAAAGGAAGTGGCTTGCTAAATAAACAACTCTCTAAGGAAGATATATGAACAGCCCAAACATGAAAAAAAACTCAGTCTC